AGTTCACATTTGGAATAGCACTTTCCTCAGCTACAAAAAGATGTACACCCAATGTCTCAGGTGATGCTTCTAGCATCCTGTGAGGTAGGTAGGGTATTATCTCCATTTTGCAGATGAGGCTGGATATTGAATCTTCTCAGGACAGTCCAGCCTCCCTTTGGAGGCCACAAGAATGTTAATAAAGCATAATTCTGATGAGACCCCCCCTCGCTTGAAAACCAACGTAGAGCTGTTGAAGTTCACACACAGGGAGTGGAGAATGACACCCAGACCTCCTGGCATCGAGGCCAATCTGTTCACCACTGTTCCACATCATCTCAACTGCGGTCTTCATATATGGAAGCTCAGAATATCGACCCAGTGATCTTGATGTGAACACACCAACACAGAGATTAGCTCAGTAAGAAAAGCAGCTCTTGTTCAGGGAGAATGGCTTCTGGTCCCTGTGACTAGCCATCGTTAGCGCTCTCAAGGTGCGTTGCTGTTCCCTGACTGGACTAGAGCTGGGATTTCCCCTGCCTCCGCTTTGGCTGCTTTACCCTTGACCGTGGAACTAGCATCTCTTACAGCCCAGCTGATGGGGAACAGCAGACGGATTTGGGAACAGTGGGGTACATTGGGAAGAGTCCTGAATTTGGCACCACAAGACCCAAGAGCAGATCCCAGCTCTGTTCTTGCTCCCCATGAGACCCGGAGAAAGTAATTTCCCCTCTCTGGGCCTCAGTTTCCTCAACTGTAAAATGAAACTCTGAGGACTTCTTTGAAGGCAGGGACCATATCTTGTCCATCTTGTTTTTCTTCCATTACCTAGGTGGTCTCTGAGGCTCACCCTTCCAACTCCAGCCTAGGGTCCCATGATACAGCTACTGCAGCGTTGACAGGACGCTTGTATCCTGAGTGCTGCCGAGGTCACAGAGCACTCTGCTGAGAAGGTGCCATGGTCAGGGGTGTACTCGGGTTAAATTCATTCTGAAACCACCAAAGTCATCTTTCCCAAGTAGGCTGATCTAAAACTTAGATGTGAGGGGCAGCTAGGTGGTGCAGTGGATAGAGCATCGGCCCTGAAGTCAGAAGGACCTGAGTTCAAATCTAGCCTCAGACCAAACACTTGATACTTACTAGCTGTGTGACCCTGGGCAAGTCACTTAACCCCAATTGCCTAAAAAAAAAAAATTTAAAACTTAGACATGGTCCATTTCAAATGGGGAACCTTATACTAGGAAATGATTTTAGTAATTGCTTTCTTTTCTTTTTCTTTTCTTTTTTTTTTTGGCAATTGGGGTTAAGTGACTTTCCCAGGGTCACACAGCTAGTAAGTGTCAAGTGTTTGGTCTGAGGCCGGATTTGAACTCAAGTCCTCCTGACTTCAGGGCCGGTGCTCTATCCACTGTGCCATCTAGCTGCCCCTAGTAATTGCTTTCTTAAGGAACTCTATCATCAAGTGGGGTTTTCATAACACAATAGTTTGTTAAAGCTTTGTTGTCATGCTTTGGGGGTACTGTATTCTGATCATTTTGGGGGGCAGGGCATAGAGCACTGGGCTTGGAATCAGAAGACTCCTCTTCCTGAGTTCAAATCAGATCTCAGACATTTACTAGCTGTGTGACTCTGGACAAGTCACTTCACTGTTTGCCTCAGTTTCCTCATCTGCAAAATGAACTGGAGAAGAAAATGGCAAGCCGCTCCAGTATCTCTGCTGAGAAAAATCCCAAATGAGGTCACAAAGAGTCAAACACAACTGAAATGATCCAAAAACAAAAATTCTGATCATGTTCCTTCCATTCTTGAAAACCGTTAGCATCTCCCTATTGCCTGAATAAAAATTTGAATTCTTTAGTCTGGAATTCCTGGCTGTTTGTGATTGGATTCCATTTGATTTCTCCAGACCTATGTAATAGCTAACACAACACAACATAACATAACACAACACAGCACAGCACAACACAACATAACACAACACAACACAATATAACATAACACAGCACAGCACAACACAACATAATCCAACATAACACAACACACCATAACACAATGTAACTCATACTATTTCCCCTCACACTCTGTACTATTTACTGTCCCTCCGACCCTCCAAGCCTGTCCGTCCTCTGGGCCTTGCTGGTGTCGTGCTCCAGAGGTATGCTGGAGCCAGTTCTAACCAGCTTATAAGAACTGATTATTAAACTTTCAGTGTGAGCATTTATATCTTGGAAATTGGCAAAGGCTGTGAATCAGAACTTGCTTGTCTTGTTCGTTGTTTAGAACTGAGAGGGTTGGAGAAAAAGGTTCTAATGCAGATTAAATTTCAAAGCATGGGTACTTTTTTTTTCCTTCATAGGGCTGGCTGTTAAATATTTACTGCCATATCCCTGTCCCATCCCTTTTCCCTATCTCTGCCTGCTGAAATTCTACTCATCTTTCAAGGTTCTAGTGAACTACCACTTCCTCCACGAAGTTTTCCCAGATCCTCACAACTGGTAATGGTCTCACTGTCGCCTTTGTGCTTAGTCATTTCATAAACTAGGCATATATGAAGTTGCATTATATACAACACATGCCCACAGATACACTTAAAGCAGAAGTATTATATTTTATCTATGGACATGTCTCATCCCCACTGAATTGCAAACTCTGAGGACTTCTTTGAAGGCAGAGACCATATCTTGTCCATCTTGTTTCTCCTCCATTACCTAGAACATAATGGAAACTTAATGAACGCTCAATTAAGGTACATTTTGTACCTCTCGCTGTGGAGCCAAGATAGGGCCAGTTTCTGGCGCGCTGGCCTGTTTTTCTAAGTTGGCAAAATGAAATCTGAAGAGGATGTGTCCAGAGCTCTCCTTCCCTTGCAGTGAGGATGTGGGTCTTCTCAGGGTTGATTTATAGAAGTGGCATCGCGGTTGATTTTGAATAGCATGGGGTTCGTGTGATGAGCGATTTAGCAGATCTTCAAATGAATGATGAAGCAGGCACTACTTAATTTTGGAGCTGCCCCCAGCAAGAGGCAGCTCAGTGATGTATACATTGAGATGGGGAAGGAGTGAGACTAGAGTAGATGCTATAGGCAGTTCTTTCCCTTTCATGCCCGTGGACATCTGTTGCATGTTATTTTTGTTTCTGGGTAAATGGGTTGGTGCTGTGATTTACTTAGATTAAATACTTGGACTGGAGTGTCTCATATATTTCCCCATCAACTTCACGATGCAGCAGATTTAGTTTCAGTCTGGGATGCCAGATTGAATTAAATGCTTTTTTAAAGCCTGAAATCTGACAAAAACCTTTCCCTCGCCAGCGCTTTCAGCCTATTCCTTTAATGAGCATCTGCAGAATAATGGTGTGGTCTGTGCTTTATTTTCTAGAAAGGAATCCAATTTGGTTTTTGGGGATGATGTCATAATTGGTCAGATAATAGATTATACTTTAAGTGAGCATAATGCTGAATGACTGCTTCTAATACTGCAAACTCAGGAGGAGCCTAGCATTGTGGGTCTCCTGTGCCACAGGGTGGGCACGTGCATCAGCTGATGAAGTGGGCTAATCCCTCTTTTCTGGGGCACCTTTCATCTCATCAGCATCTCTTTGTACTTTGGGTATTTTCTTTGATCTCTTCTTGGGACCACACTCTTTCCTGAGCTGGAGGATCTGGACCCCTCCTTCATTTCTGTCACTTTGTGCTTACAGAAAAGGAGACTAAGAGACAGGATGACATAGCCGATGGTGGTGTGGAATGATCAGAGTGAGCTCCCTGTCCCTTTGAGGGCCTGGTGGAGAGTGATGAACAGACCACATTCTTCTAGATGAAATTTCATTTTTCCTGAAACAGAGTCCAAGCGTGGTGGGTTGGGACACGTGCCTCTAAGTAGGCATACTCATTTCCCATGAGTTTATCCATAGGAAGGCTTTGGAGACAGGTTTTATTTGCAGAATGGTGATGCCAGGAGAACATCGTACACAGAAACAGCAATATTGTATGACGATCAACTGTGAATGACTTAGCTATTCTCAGCAATATGATGTTCCAAGACAACTTGATGAAAAATGTTGATCCACCTCCAGAGAAAGACCTGATGAAGTCTGAATGCAGATCAAAGTATACTTTTTTAAACTTTTTTTTTTCTTGGTTTTGTTTTGGTCTATGTTTTCCTTTACAACATGACTAATACGGAAATATGTTTCGGCATGACCAAACACGTATAACCAATATCAAATTGCTTGCTTCTCAATGAAGGAGGATAGGAGGGAAGGAGGGAGAGAATTTGGAATAACAAGTGTCAAAAATTGTTTTTACACGTAACTAAAAAATATTTTAAAAAAGGACTGTGTTTCCAGGATATATATGGATGACTAGGGAAGGTGCTAGCATGCCAGCACTATGCCTCATAATCCTATGGCATGAGTGTGGGCTCAGTGTTTCACCATGTGGTGCTCATCCTCCACCTCCACACACACACTCTGTTCTAAGCGTGCTTCCTCCTCACAGACCTAATTACTTTTCTCCCCAGATGGATCCAATCATTTTTATGAGCTCCCTAGAAAAGACACCAGGGTCTACTCAGTATAATTTGATTCTCATCACTGGCTGACTTCAAAAAAATCCAGTGAAATAGTGGAGCTTGGTCCAGTGGAAAACAGAGCCTGCACTTAATACTAGCTGTGTGACCCTGGGCAAGTCACTTAACCCCATTGCCTAGCCAAAAGAAAAAAAAAATGAAAACAGAGAACCTGGAAAGAAGTATCTTAGGCCCCAAAGTGAATGATGAAAATTTGTAACAAAAAAGCAAGGACATAGATGGCTGAGGGTCATAGAGACATTGGCCGTACATAATGACACAATCTTCAAGTTAATTGCATTTATTTTGGAAAAATTATGGAGAAACAGGTAGGTAAGAATGATAAAAATCAAGAGTAGACAGAGTAAATGTGGTGGTGATGAAGGCAGTTGTATGTGTGAAATTTTAAAATTTGTAATAACGCAGAATGTTAAAAAAAAGACAGCTAATCACTGCAGACAATGGAATCATGGTTTTATTAACAGTGAATCAATCTGGTGGGAATGCTGATTGAATTAGCAGATGAAGAAAAACAGCAGATGTCATACTTAGACAACAGTAAATCAGTGGTGATGACAGTAGCTTGGATTCTTATTAACAAAGCTGATTTAAAACCGCCTTTCTGAAAGTTTATATGCCTGCTCAGCCGGGTAGGAACTACGGGTATAATAGGATTGAGGATTAAGCTCAGCCTTATCTATTTACAGACGAACCAGGAGAAGCCATGTGGTCACCAAACACGTATCTTGCTTTAACTTAGAATTCTCGTGGATCAGCATCAATTTTGTTCCCTGGCAATAGGGAGCCATCCATGCTAGTGAGTAGCCCGAAAAGCAGATGGACACAAGTTAATCCATTCGTGGTCTTAGGGTCGTTTCTAATTTTTGCTGCTGATGACTCCTCCTTGACTGATGGGAGCTTTTGCTGTGTCCAACCCAACGCAGATGGGCCTCTGCCTGCAGGGTGTTAAAGAATCCTGCGTCTGGACAACAGCGCAGAGAGTGTGGGTGGGAGCCCCAGGACACGGAACTCAAGGAGGGCCTGTCTTGGTTGGCATTTGGACCTAAGGAAAGAGCTGCTCTGTGCTGATGTATGATGAAGAAGCAGGGAGAAAATTGAGTGTGTCTGTCTAATCTCGAGGGAGGAAAAAAATTACTCTGTTCACATGTTGCCATGGCCAAGAGAACTGCTCTCTCCTCCACCAGCCAGCCTCTAGAAAGTCACCTCCATACTCCACTTGGAGCACTCCCTAATTCACAAATGCTTTCTATTTGTTCACTTGTGATCCAGACAAAATAAAAAAGGTTTTTTTCCTTTATTTACATAAGGGTTTAAGTGACTTGGTACAAAAGAGGAACCGGAGGATTGTAAGTCAGAAGACCTGGGTGCAAATCCTGGTTCTGGGACCAAACCCCTATGTGAATCTGGGCAAGTCACTTGACCCCTGGGGCTTCAGGTTCCCTATCTGTGAAACGGGGATGCTGATCCCCATATGCCCAGGCTCTGTGGACTGCAAAGCAATATGGAAATGGGATCCAGGGTGCCTGGAGAAGAAGGGGAGGGAACCCATGCACAGACTTGCTGAGGAAGTGTGGCGAAAACAACAGGGAGCAGAACGGAGGACGGAGAGGGAAGAGAAACCTCTCGACTTCAGCGAGAAAAGAAGCCAAGTTTTCCACCTCCCTGTCAGAAAACACTCTGGGCTGACGAGGCAGAGCTGTGCTAGGCCCTGTGCAAAAAATTGCGGAGATGGGATTAAGGAGCTAATTACATAGCATTGTGCTAGAGGAGACAACATGATCAGTCTATCCTTATATGAGTGGGTGCGCCGGGGAGGTACCAGGCACGGTGCCAAGAGGGCAGAGCTGGGATCACAGGAGGAAAATGAGAAGTGCTTCAGGGAGGTTCAGGCAGGGGCTACTGGAAAGGCATTTCATACTGGGCACAAATTGGGACAAACACCGGACTGGATGCAGGGCCAGGGGCAGAGATGGCACTTGGGGGGAACCGGCCTCCGCTGGTCCCTGAGCTCTGAGACCTCACGCCCAATCTGGTGGGACACAGTGGGGAGGGTGCTCCTGGGAAGACGGCATGTCACCTGCAGAGTGGATCCTCAGAGGAGGCCTCTGAAGAGAACCCCACCTCCCCAGAGAAGCAGAGAACAGCTGAGTCAAAGGTGACGTGATTAGGTAAAATGGTGGCTCAGAGAGCGTTGGATTGGAGACAGGCACGAGGTGGGACGATGGCTCCAAGCCTGAGGAGGACCCGGTGCTCGGGCACGCTGCCCCAAACAGGGATGTGCCAGGTCCTGGATCTGGACAGAGGGGGCATCGTGCCCCCGTGTTCCACCTTTCCTCCTCCTCCACACTGCTTTGGTCCTATCGCTCACAATGGTCTGAGCGAGTCTTTGGCAGCTGGAAGCCTGTGGAAGGGGCTGGTTCCCCCAGGCTCGGAAGGACTTGGGTAAAGGTCCCTGCCCGAGTCTCTTATAGGTCAGAGATCTTCCTTAATGCTGGTGGCATGCTGGGATGGGTGAACTGGAATCCCGGGGTCTCCCGGCTTCTGGTCAAGTGGCTGTTCACCAACAGCGCTGTAGTCCTCCATGAGACCACTTTCGATCCCGTGGCGCCTCAGTCTCTCATTTGCCACGAGCCCTTGCATGTTCATGTACCCATGCTGGCAGAAGGGGGGCAGCTTCTGGCGTGTTAGAGCGAACAGGAAACAGGACTCTGTCCAAAAATAACAGCGAGAAAGGACTCCCATGGGTTAATGTCTTATGAACTGCCTTATGAACAGGTAAGGAAAGCGAGTCACCTTGACTGTATACGTAAGTATTGGTATTTCACTGTGTAGGAAGGTGAAATTTAGGGTCACCCTATTAGATCCCAGGCCTCTCAGCCACTTGGGTTTAAAGAATAAAAAGGCTGGGGGGAAAAAATCCCATGAGCTAAAATTCACTATAAAAACAGCTCAGCTCCTAAAACATGGGGCCTGGGTTGTGTGTTTTGCATAGCACCGCACACACAATGGAAGAGCTTGGTAAGTGTGAAGGGACCCTTTGGCTTTCCCAAGCCGGGCGTGGAGCAGTGGGTGGGGGCCCGCATCTCAGTCTGAGCTCAGGTGGCAGCTACCACAGAGGGTGATGTGCAGTCCTGAGGCCTTGTGGTGTGGAAAGGCATTGGAGCAGGCAGGCAGGAAGGAAGGTGAGGAAGTGGGGAGGAGAAACCAGCAGCAAAGACGCCAGACTGCGCGTCTGAGCAGTCCCTGAGCTGCCACAGAGGCCCCACGCGTGCCCGCAGTTACCTGCGTAGAAGCTTCGAAGGTCGCTATTCAGACAGTTTTCCAAGAAACGCCTCAGAGGGAGGATGTGGGCCATGGGCGCGGTCCAGTCTGTGAGGAAATCCTCCACGATGTGGTGGATGGCGACTGGCCGAGGCAGGGGCCAGCCTGGGGCCCGGGACGCCATCTCCTTCTCTGGGGGGGAGAAACAGAGCCTGTTAGAGGCGAGACCAAGAGCTGCCCACTGCAGCCTGGGAGGGGAGCTGAGGGCTGGCAGGCCTCCTCTCCCAGGCAGCACAGACGGCCTGACCAGGGCCCCTCAATTCCTGCCTGCTGCAATTTCAGCGGCTGGCCAGCTGTGTTGATAGGCCAGTATCACCGGTTCAGTGCTCTCCTGATGGACACAGGACACAGGTGACCTGAGATGCGGCTGTGTCTCACACCATCGTGGGCAGCGTCTGCTTTTGCAATCCCAGAACCTCAGAGTTGTGGGGATCTTGGGGATCCCCTGGTCTAACACTCAACCACTGAGGCAGCCCCATAAAGTACACAGAGAGGTGGGCTTGGAGTCAGGAAGACCCGATACTCAGATGTTTCCTAACTGTGTGACTCTGGGCAAGTCACATCACCTCCTCTAGACCTCAGTTTGCTCATCTGTAAAATGAGAGTGATAACAGCACCTGCTCCATAGGGCTGTTTGGGGCAGGGAATCCAGTGAAACGATGTGTGCATACGACCTCTGCTGGGCCGTGTCCAGCGCGGGGCAACACGTGCATATGGGAGTATGCCCACGCAGGCCTCCTCTTCTTTTAGCAATTATTAAGAAATAACATTCTGTTGGTGCCTTGGTCTAGTTCCCTAATGGCCCTGTCTCTCTGGGTGTCTGGACGGTGGTGGCTCTGTAAAGGGTTCAGATATCCTGGCCTCCCCTTAGGGGACCGTCATACCCCCTCGTGCCTGTCTCCAATCCAACGCTCTCTGAGCCACCATTTTACCTAATCACGTCACCTTTGACTCAGCTGTTCTCTCCTTCTCTGGGGAGGTGGGGTTCTCTTCAGAGGCCTCCTCTGAGGATCCACTCTGCAGGTGACATGCCGTCCTCCCAGGAGCACCCTCCCCACTGTGTCCCACCAGATTAGGCATGAGGTCTTAGATTACTACTGCCTGGGATGGGAATGGGGAAGGGCCCGACTCACCGGTGGGGAGGCAGTGATAGTAGTAGATGACCGGGTGAAGGAAGTTGGACTGCCAGGCATCTTCCACGTCCCCCACAGCCCGGTCGTAATAGAAGACGTCCTTGTCTGGTCCAGAGAAGTTCTTGCCGTATTCCATCGTGACAACAAAGAGCCCGTGCTGAGCTTCCCGCCCAGTGAGGGTCTCCAGCTCGGCCAGCATCTTGATGGGGTATTCCTCCAGGTACTCGAAGCCTGTGGCCTTCCTAGGGAAATGCAAGGGGGGGAGACCTGTCTCTGCCAGGGCAGTGGGGTGTCCAGAGGGCCTGAACCTTATGTTTTGTGTCATGATTGAAGCCAGACCCCAAGTGACATGGGGGACAGAGTCGGAAAAAACCACCACCAAAATATAAAATTGCATAACCAGCGCTATTAAATTGATGGAAAACTGGGGGGTAGGGACTGGTGACCAGAAGGCTACAACCTTATTGTATTTATGCACAAGCCATGTGATAGAATTAAGAGCTGAGTTCAAACATGGACTCGTCCACAAAAGAGGGTACCCGGGGAATGAGGGCATGGTGGTGCAGAACGAGATGGAGCAGGAAGGTCTTAAAGATAAAGTGTCTGGACGCCTAGTGGAGCGATCTCCAGCTTTGTCCCCTCTGAGGCTCAATGGATAGTACCAGACTGAGCAGGAAGCCAGCCCTCTCTGGGCTGCACTGCGACAGGACCGGGGATTGGGTTGTCTCATGGAAAGTACTCTACCTTCCTAAACACTGCTGTTACAGAATGAAGGAGGTTTTTAAACACCAGGACAGTGAGAGAAATGGATGTGAGCTACCGCGGGTTTGGGGAAGGCTAGGCACTGATGACTTACTCCTTCAGAAGGACTACATCCGCCAGCACGCTGAACATCTGGTATAAGCCCGAGGCCTCATTCACTCGACGGATGATGGTGTTGGTGAGCTGTGTGATGGGGTACACGGGGGAAGGCCAGGGGTTGCCGTGATGGCGATGCTCTAATAATCGGTGAACTGCTCGGGCTGAATTGGAGACAGAAGGGAGCCCTGTAAATCAGGAGTGGGCGGGAACCAGCTAGAACAGGCTTCAGAGAGTCGATGGTTAAACATTCAGTGGGAGTATTTACTCCTTGGAAATCAGCAAATGTCACAAGTCAGGGTTTGGTTTGTTTTGCTGACTGTTTAGACATAAAGAGATGGAGAAAACGTCAAGACTGCAGACGACATGTAAAAGTACACACCCCTAGGGTAAATGAAAACACGCTATTTGATTTTCTCAAGCAGGAGACCTATGAAGGCATCAGCAGCTTTTACTGAGCATCCATCACGCGTCTTACCTGGTCCTACAAGCCAGGGTGCGCTGGGCAGGTGGAGAGAGAGCTGGCGGAAGGCCTCCCAAGCACAGTCTTATCAAAGAGCCGGCGCATCCCAAGCCAAGCTCACCATATTTCTCCCACACTCACTAAGCTCCCCCTTCCCCATTCTCCCTTTCCCTCAATGCTACCACTCTTCTTCCAGGCATCAGCTTTGACATCTTTCCTCTACCATCTATGTCCAATCTGTCACTAAGTTCTGTCAATTTTTCCTTTAAAATATCAGGCGGATTTTTTTCCCATTTCATTTAAATATAATTTTATCGCTATCTTTTGTTTCTCTATAGCTTGGGCTTCCCCTTGTATCCCTTTCTCCTTCCTTCACCAGAAGTCACCACTTGTAATGAAAAATTTTCCAAAAAGAAAGAAAAAAGGAAAAAAGATTCTCCCTTCTTCCTTCCTAATACGGCCACTCCCCCGCTCAGGCCTCATGCGGTGACTGTCCCTGCCTCCCTGCCTCCCGTATCTGCCTCTATTCCTCCTTCACACGTCCGTCCCTTACACGCTGGGTCTCCTGCATTCACACATCAAGCAGCTGTGCTTCCCTGCCCCCCGCGGAATCGTGTTCATTCAGTCTCCATCTGTTTGCCCAGGGTCTGTCCAAAAGCATCTCCCACCACTTGCTGGAACTTTCCCCAGAGTCGGGTTGTGCTCATTTGTGCCCCTGGACCTTTGGTCGCTCAGTCCTCCCAATATACCGTCGCTGCTCTTCACGGCCGCCAGTCCTTTAAGACCCAGCTCGAGTCTCGCCTGCGCTGGGAAGCCTTGTAGACAATGGGGTGGCCTCAGAGATCATCCAGGACCACTCCTCATTTCAGAGAGGCACAGAGAGGTGTATGCACCTCTTTCACGGTTGCATGGGGGGGAATTTGAATTCAGCTTCTCTGGTTTCAAGTCACTTTCTCCCACGGCTGGGCCAGACTGCCATGGAAAGCTCAGAGGCTCCCACCTCTCACCCGTTATAGCCCCTTGTATCTGGAGCACAGATGTTAGCATTTGTTTCTTCACTACGCGTTTCATCATCACCCCTACTAGATTAAGAAGCAACTTGGGCAAAGGATCACGGGATCACACATTTTAGACATGAAAGGCAACTTAGAGACCCCGGAGACCAACCTCTTCATTTACAAACAGGGAAATTGAGGTCCAGAGAAGAGAAGGGATTTGCCCACAGTTGAACAGCTAGTGAGGGTCTAAGGGAAGGATTTGAACTCAGGTCTTCCTGACTCTAGGTTCAGTGTGCTTTCTGCTATGTATGCTGTTGCCTTCTCCATTTTGCGTCTCACTCGACATGTGGTTGGACATGTAGTAGCCATCCAATAAACAGCTGTTGAATTAAATTGATTAGATTACATTAAAACACACACACACACACACACACACACACACACACACACACACTCATTCTCTCTCTCTCTCTCTCTCTCTCCAGACTTGGGAGTCGCTCTCCTATCTGCCTTCAGAGAACAGTTTATGCCAGGCAAAACCATGAAAACACGCTGATTTATTGTTATGTCTATGCACTTGCTGGGGGCAGAGACGGGGATAATCGGGGCTTCACATCGAGGTAGCATTCTGCAGTTTATAAATCACTTTCTTGTGGGAAAGCTGAGGTGGGGGGAGGGAAGTTTTTTGACATTTATATGAAAAAGCTGTTTTGTTTGCTTACCCAGGCAGTGTGGGAGGCATTGGATCATTGCTGCATACACAGCTGGTCTCATTGTTTCTTCGCTAGGACTGTATTTTTGTCTGCTACCACATATCTGATCAGTCATCAAGCCCTGTTGATTTTGCCTTAGTAGGGTTTTTTTGTTTTTTTTGTTTTTGTTTTTTTTGCATCTTGTTTTCTTTTCTCTTCTCACCAGCACCTTAGCTTAGGGCCTCAGCACTTGGTGTCTGTATGTGTGACTGCAGGAGCCGCCTAACTGGCCTCTCTGCCTCCTGCCTTTCTCACCGCTTGCCCAACACTGCAACCAGATTAATCTTCCTTAAAAGAAAGCAAGCTTTCTTCAGTCATCTCTGGACTCAATCACCTTCCTATTTCCTACAAGATAAAGTTCAAATGTTCTCACTCCGGCATTCAAGGCTCCTAACAATCTGATCTTAATCAACTTTGCCAACTTTGTCTCCCACTAGTCCCCCGTGGGACACCTTTGCTTGAAACAGCCTAGTTGGGGGCAGGTAGGTGGTGCAGTGGATAGAACACCGGCCCTGGATTCAGGAGGTCCTGAATTCAAATCCGGCCTCAGACATATAACACTTACTAGCTGTGTGACCCTGGGCAAGTCACTTAACCCCAGTGCCTAGCCAAAGAAAAAAAAGAAAAAAAGAAACAGCCTAGTCCATAGTCACTGTGTGCCTCAAACATGCCATGTGAACGTTTATCTCTACACCTTTGTTCATTTTGCTCATGCGCTTCTCACCTGAAATACCCTTTCCCTCAATCCTGTCATAAGACACCTACTCATTTCAAAGGTGCTGCTCAAAAACCCTCTCCCCCATGAGAAGCCTGGTCCCTTCATTCTTGTTCTTTCTCTCAAAGAAACCCCTCCACCTCCCTCGTCTGCGCTTCCTGGATGAGGACGCTGTCGGGTTCTCCAGATGACGGCCCCTGCAGGGGTCCTCAGCCCGTGACTCCTTCCCCGTACTCTAGGTCTGCCCAGTATGCGGAGGGCCCCTTCTTCTGCTCCCCTTGGCCCTTCTTCCATGACGAGCCCACCTCCTCTTCTGCTCACACGTGGCCAGGACAGTCTCCCGGATGTCGATGGTGCTCGGCTCTGGGCACTTCTCATACATCGCCGTATGCTGTTGTTAATTATCTTCTTTCCAGTTAAAGTGTAAACTCCTATTTCTTTTTTCTTTTTTTTTTCCAGGCAATTGGGGTTAAGTGACTTGCCCAGGGTCACACAGCTAGTAAGTGTCAAGTGTTTAGTCTGAGGTAGGATTTGAACTCAGGTCGTCCTGACTTCAGGGCCGAGGCTCTGTCCACTTAAACTCCTATTTCTTAAGGCTCCTCCAGAGCACAGAAAGGGCTCAGTCAGAGCAGATCCTCAATAAGCCATGATCTCAGCATCGGTAGGAATCCAAACAGCAGGAGCATCCCCCAGTCAGCTGTCATCCAGCCTCCACGTCAACATCTCGGGCTACAGGGACCTTACAGCTTCTGGAGGCATCTCAGTCACATGAACAAACATCAAGTGATAGGGCCCTAAGCTAAGGTGCTGGTGAGGAGAGAAAGAAAATAACAGCCCAGCCATCTGCATCTGTACTCAAGACACTGCTGAGAAAGCTGCCCAGTGTAAGGCCAAGGCTACTGGAGTGCCCGCGGCTCTCCGCTGTAGAACTCGACCCAAGATGGCACGATCCATTAACTACTACTCTTTGGGGCCAGTCAGCCAACCGCTTCTGAGCCTGCCTAAGTGTGCAACCATCTCGCTTGCATTTCTCTGTCTTGTCCACAAGAATATCGTGAGACCTTGCCAGGAAGACGAAATCTCATGTGAAGTTCTCTTCTTTTACCAGTCTATGAAACATGATAAAGAGGCAATGAGATTATCGAGCATGACCTAGTCTTGATGGACCCGGGTGGTCCTTACTGACCACAGACTCCTTTCTGAAACATTCACAAATCATTCCTTTAATGGCACATTCTCGAATTCTGCCAGGAACTGGAGACCAGATCACTTGTTTATACTCTGATGACTCTACCTTTTTTCTTTTTTGAAAATCAAGACCATATCTATCCATCTCTAGCCATATGGCACCTCCCCCTTTCACCATGATTTCCCAATGAATACCGAAAATGACTCAACAAGCGCATCTGTTAGTTCTTTTGTTATCCTGGATAGACTTTGTCTGGGCCTGACAACTGAATCTGCGAAGGGTGGGGAGGTGCCCGATTGTCAGCTCCTCATTTATTTTTGGTTTCAATTTCCTGTTGACCATTTCTGGTTTATTCTTCCCCAGTCTAAAGATAGTTCTTGGTAGAGAAGATAGAAGTAAAATCAAATTTGAGTCTTGATCGCCACACCCCTCCCCATCATCTCTTATCATCATCCTATCTATCCCAGCTCAACACACTTTTTAAAAAGCCTGCATTCTGCATTCACTGTCGGCCTCTTATCATCCTCTCCATTCAACACCAGCTCCTTGCTTTCTTTAGCAATTAGTGCTAGCCTCAGCTGGTGCTGAACTTCAGTTCTTGTGATGCTGCTGTTCTAGCCTCGTGCTACTGTCTGGTGACTGGGTCTTGCTTCCGTCTTCTGCTCAGGTCTTCTCAAACCTGCAGTTGCTTCGTGAGCCCCCAACCTCTTTCAGACGTGGTGCTCCTTTTCCTGCCTGTCTCCCCTGAGTAGTCTTTGTGCCATCAGAATTTTATTCTCCTCTTTATCCATGACACGTTATAAGGTGGAGTAGCCGTGTCCTTTCAAGGTTCCCTTCATTTCTGTCTTGGCAAGCAATTCTTTCTTACTGGTCAGAATCACTTCCAACATAGTGGTTCTTTAAGTCATCATTAAGGTGAATTCAAGAATCCACCTTCTGCCCTCCAGGTCTGAGAGAGAACACTCCAGCAGCGTATGGAGCATTTCCATTTCCTGTCACTTGAATATTCTGCCCTGGAGCCAGGTTTGGGACCAGCTCCTCAAACTCATCATCCATGTCCTCGTTCTGGTTGGGCAGTCTGTACTATCCTCCCACCATCCCATTCCTTCTGTTCCTTCTTCCTGCACTGGCCTTTACTTAGGAGCTCTTCATTCACACTCTCCCTGTCTGGGACAGAGATCTCTTTGTTCTTAATATGGTGTATAATGTAACTCTACCCATCCATTCCTTTCACCTCATCTGTTCCTTCTGAATACATTTTCTGTTTCTAAAACCACATGGCTGTCTTGAGTCACATCTCCCCAATTCTCAGGGATAAACTCAAATTTCCCTCCATTCATTAAGGCTGCTGGCTTATCTTTTTCATTACCCATAATTTTGCTCCTGTGAATACTGACGTACGAAGTCATGATTTTTTTTTTTTGGTCTTTCTCCTTCCTGGATATTGCTACCAGTGAATTACTAGTATCTCCAGTGACAGTCTTCTTGTTCTGTTATATCTGCCACTCTGTGTTATCTGGCTTGGTGACTGGCCACATAAAGGCAGTTTTCTTCCTCCTCTTTTTTTGGTCCAATTTCCTTTTGATCAGATCCACACATCTCCAGGCAAATTTGCTTTCACAAGTCCTCATTAGATATACTCCATTCCTGTTCAAGAACCTATCATTGTTACCCCTTAAACTGAGGATTAGAAATCTAAACAGTGTTCACAGACCCCATCTCCTTAAGAAGTTATCTCTCTTTTAAAGCAGTATTGGGCACCTCATTTTAGGAATGTCATTGACAAATTGGAGAGCATCCAGAGAGGGTGACCAGAATGGCCTCAAAATAATGCCACTTGAAGATGGAGAAACTGAGGGTGGGATTATCCTTATGAAGAGAAGGTGTCAGAGAGGCTACCAGGTGAGAGGGATTAGCCTTGCTCTGCTAGGCCTCAGGGCACAGACCAGGAGTAAGGGGGTAAGGCTTGGTGTTAGGAACAGTTGTCCCAAGTGGAATGGGCCGCCTCAGGAGGTGATAGGGAAAGGAAAAGGGCAGAATCAAAGAAACAGAGAAGTAAGGGAAGCAGACATTAATTTGTATACTTCTTTTCCTTTCCTTTTTTTTTTTTTAAGGCAATTGGGGTTAACTGACTTGCCCAGGGTCACACAGCTAATAAGGGTCAAGTGTTTGGTCTGAGGCCGGATTTGACCTCAGGTCCTCCCAACTTCAGGGCTTGTGCTCTATCCACTGCGCCACCTAGCTGCCCCCAATTTGTATACTTCTTGAAAATAATGCAAGCCTCCAGAAAGTCTTCTTTAGCACAAAGCCTATAAGGATGGATAGACAATTATTGCACCATTTCCATACACACAAGCATTTCCTATATCCAGGTGCCCCAAACCAACGTATTTCACAATTACATCCTGCATACATTCCCATGGAGCTGGAGAGCCATGAAATCCCACTATAATGCCTTCTGGCTCATCATTCATTTAAAACACTTTCCCTGTTACCACACACCCATCTAACATGGTTTTACAGAAGGTTATCTTTTCCCAAAACCTACTAGGGAAATTAGGTAGTATATGCATGAGGGGGGTGGGGCTGGGAGGCTATGTGGAGTTGGGAGGGATGCTAAAAAACCCTCTCTAGACTATTTTCCTGACAACACACATTCAGATGTAAAATATATGGTCTGGAAATCAATAGAGAAAATGATGAACCTTCCTCGCCAAATTGGAGGAATAATAAAATGTAAAAGTTGGCATTAAGGCAACGAAGGGCTCTGGATTTAAATACAGAGATGTCAGGATGTAAAGCCCTTATGGTTTTCATGGCAAAATTAATTGGCCCACGGAGAACCCCATTGTGCAATAAAGCATGCGTTCAACAGCTGAATGAGAGATCCATAGCACAGTCCGGGAAGGAGGGTTGTGTCGGCCGCTGCGGCTACTGAGAGCCTTAAATTTCCCCTTCCCTGGCTGGGGTGCCCTTGCTCAGTCTTCCATTGAGGTGGGTTTTTGAGTATGACTTCCAGGAGGTATTTAAAATAGTTTAAAAGAACAACAATGCAATAAGGCGCCACGGAATAGACAGTTTTCCAATGTGACAATTACAATTCCCTTAAACCAGGATGGGTATTTTTCAGCCTGTGGAAGAGGCACAGAGGGCTGGATCCTCTCTGTTTTTTTTTTTTAATAATTTGATAACTGTCTACATTACTCCCTTTCCCTAGGCCTTGCAGTTTTCACTTACAAAATGAGGGGGCTCCAAACCCCAACAAATGGCAGCTTGGTGGGATATCCATTAGCTAGTGGTGAATGAAGGGGTGGCAGGAACCAGGGAGAGGAAGCAGGAAGAGGAGACATTTTTTTCAAGTTTGTAGATTTTTAAGAAGGTGAAACGTTTATGAACTGGTGAGTGGGAAACATCGGACGTGGTGGGAGGGAGCGGGATATGTCCACCTGAGGTTGGAGGGCCTGGCTTCAAACCCTGGCTCGGCCATTTACATCCCTGTGTAAGTGACTTTCTTGGCCTCAGTTTCCTCACCTGCAAAATGAGAAGCTGCCCTGGATGGTATCCAGGTGTGCCACTTCTACCTGCCTTGATCTCTAACATGCTTTCCAGCTCTCAGCAGCCTGTGATTCCCAGCTGGTCAAGGCCTTTCTCCTTAGGTTGGGTCAGTGCCCCTCCGTCCTCCCCTTCTGTTTGGGGTAACAGATCGCAGTGGGATGGAGGGGCTCACAGGACACCATTCAGTGCAGATGACTTATTCCTTCTCCCCTTGATGTGTGAGTTTCATGTATTATGCTTATAGTCAGGGACTTTGGTCACCGCCTTGGGACAGGGATGTCTGGCCATCAGAGCAAACGGGACATTTCTGGCACACTGATGATGCTGGGAGTCCCTGGTCCTCAGATGGGGGTCTTGTCCTAGACCAGGTGAATGTCTCTGATAAGGTCAGATACTTCTGTCTAAGAAAGAATGACTAGAAATCCCACCTCTTAATACGAGTGAGGCGTGTGCCTCAGCAGTGAAGAAAGCAAGTGTGATGTTGGGCTGTGCTAAGGCCGCAGCTTCCAGGAGCAAGGAGGCAGAGCCCCTCTGGCCTTTGCCCTGAGCAGACCACGTCTGAAACACGGTGCTCGGTTTTGGCAAAGACCCAGAGGAAGGCAACAAGAGAGCGACGGGCCTTGTGAGCGTCAGTGGAAGAAACTGGGGCTTGTTAGTCCGGAGAACACTCAAAGGCGACAAGCAGATGTCAAAGGGCTGTCTGTGGACAGACAAGATTCTGGCCTCAGACTCTTCCTGGCTGTGTGACCCTGGGCAAGTCACTTCACCCTGTTTGCCTCAGTTTCCTCATCTGTCAAATGAGCCGGAGAAGGAAACGGCCAATCACTCCAGTATCTCTACCAAGAAAACCCCAAACGGTATCATGAGCGTCGGACACAACTGAATCAGCTGGACAGCAAGGCATACCGCACAACCTGGACATTCAGACTCTCCACTTGAGAACAGGCAGTAATCAGAGTGGGAAATCAGCCAGCCATGACGCCGAGCAAGGAAAGATCCAGAACGTGCCCATTCCTCAGCTCCTCTGACTCACTTCCCACCCGTGACACACCTTTCTTAACCTCATGCAGAGAGATTAGGAACAGGAATGCCGCACTCGTAGGTTCACTGATTTAGAGCTGGAAGGGAGATTCATTCTGTTCAACCCTCTCGTTTTACAGATGAAGAAACGGAGGTCTAAATGTCAGAGGCAGGGTCGGAACCCAGGTCCTTCCTGACTCTCAGGCCAACGTGTTATCTCTACTAATAGAGAAAGGGGCCACACGGACTTGAGCTCAGGATGTTACGTGGAGATAGAATCTCTAGCTAGAAAGGCAGAGGGAGGACAAGTTCTCTGGTACCACCCCCCAGGGAGGTACAGGAAAGGCCAGGGAAGAATTCTGTTCTGTCTCCTTCTGGCAGGGAGGGAAGAGAAAGGCCTGAGCCTGGGCTTGCTATGCCCAGCACCAGCCACCCCCAGCCCTGCAACCTCCACAGAGAGAGAGGCCGCTCCAGACGCCCGAGCTCTTTGGCCTAGGGTTAGTGGCGATTTGCCAGGGCTCACCTGTGTATCGGAATCCGTGGATGAAACCTCCAGCAGACTTCCTGTAGTCCACAGAATGGCTGGCGGTGCCTAGAACAAAGAGCCCGCGGGTTCTTTTGGACTCATAACTGGCTTTGATCAGTGGGTACTTTTTTTTCTGCCCTTTTCCTGGGGCCAATCCAAGAGTGCTGGAAGAAGAAAGGATGGAAGATTACTTGGGCGTGGGGAGATCAAGCGTCCCCCAAACTGGGAGGGCAGCCTGGCTTCAGGAGCCCAAGTGGGGAACGAGTTCTAGACCTCTCTGGGCCCGAGCTACCCCATCTGTGAAAGGGAGAGCGGCATCACAGACTCAGGGCTGATGAAACCTCAGAGCTGTGTCTCTGGAAGGCTTCGGTTTGGGGTGAGCTGTCAGGATGTTCTGACCCGAAGCTCTTCTGAGAGGATACAGATGACCTCTGTGGGCAGCTGGACATGGGCCTTCCTACCCGGGGCTGTGACTTGTGCCAGGATCAGCCTTCTTCTCCCGGAGGATCAGCCCACTGGAAAACCATCCCACCCACCCCCAATGGGCCCCCGGCTTGGACTCACCCGTTGAAGATCGAGAAGTTGAAGGTAAAGCCCAGACAGCGGATCACGCGGTCGTAGGGCACCCGCATGGCAAAGTTGTCCACCTCATCCTGGGGGAGGGAGACGGCCTCAGCGGGGGCGTTCTTGCTGGCTCTGTCCATGAAGACCGGCAGGGTGATACGAAGTCTACCCTTACTGTCCTTCACGATGGCCAGGTCCTTCAAGTCGGTTTCTAGCAGGCCATCCAAGGACTTCAGCTGGTACGTGTCCAGGAGACCATTGTTGACTGCTCTGGGATCCAGACAGAGAAACTATGAGTCTTTGGTTACTCAGAGAGGAGAGACCGAGACCTTGCCCTAATTCTAATTGTGAGCCTGTCCCAGGGTCCCCGATGGAGGTCTAACAGCCCGTCTACACCTTCTCCTGGGTCCTTCAAGACTTTGATGGCCTGTGATTTCACTGGGGTTGGGGACCCTCTCCACTAACTCTGACTGCAATTCCTCTCTGACACAGTGGAAGATCTTTGAGAGCTGGGGCTAGGAAATTCACCAGGGGCAGCTAGGTGGCACAGTGAATAGAGCTCTGGTCTTGGAGTCAGGAAGACCTGAGTTCAAATTCAGCCTCAGACACTTACTAGCTATGTGACCCTGGGCAAGTCACTTAACCCCAATCGCCTTAGCAAAAATTAAAAAACAAACAAACTATGAAATTCACCACCCTGAAGCCAGGTGAGCCTCTCCAACCTCATCTCGCCTAGTTCTCGTGGTGGACATGCCATGGTCCATCATGGAGCTGATTCTCAAAGTCTTTCCACGGCAGTACAACCTATCCAGGCCTGTGCTCCACAGGCATAGCTTTCAAGCACCCCTGGCCACATCCAGGCACTGAGGAAACATCAGAGGACTGAATAAAGAAAGCTGAAATCTCCAAGTCTTTTTAAACAATGGCCATTTCCCGTCTGGACGCATGCGTGCATCCATAGCCCACAGTACAGAATCCAGAGTACACCAGTGTGTAAGGAGCAATCATTTTGAAAGCTTTCCCCCATCCCGTGACATCACATAGCTAACTATCCTTTGGGAGGTAGAGAGAGAGAGAGAAGAGAGCAGAGAAAGGAGAGAGAGAGAAAAAAGAGAGAAAGGAGAGAGAGAAAAGAGAGAGAGACAAACAGAGAGAAAAGAGAGAGGGAGAGGGAGAAAGAGAAAGAAAGAGGAGAGAGAGAGAAGGGAGAGAAGAGACAGAGGAGAGAGAAGAAAGAGAAAGAAAGGGAGGGAGAGAGAGAGAAAGAGGAAACAGAGAGAGAAGGGAGAGGGAGAAAGAAAGAAAGAGGGGAGAGAGGAGAGAGAAAAGAGAGAGAGGAAGAGAGAAAAAAAGAGGAGGAAGGAAGAAAGGAAGGGAAGGAGGGAAAAAGAGAGGGAGAGAAAGAAGGGGGAGAGAGAGGAAGAGAGAGAGAGAAGAGGAAAAGAGAGGAAAGGAGAGAAAGGAGAGAGAGAAAAGAGAGGGAAAGAGAGAGAGAAAAGAGAGAAGTGAGAAACATACAGAGAAAGGATGAAAAGAGAGACAGAGGGAGTGAGAGACACAGAAAGAGAGAGGAAGAGACAGGAAGGGAAGAGAGAGAGAGAGAGAGGAGAGAGAGAGATAGAGAGAGAAGAGAGAAAAGAGAGGAGGGAGGAAGAAAGGAAGGGAGGGAGGGAAAAAGAGGGAGAGAGAGAAAAGAGAGAGAGAAGGGAGAGAAGAGAGAAACATAGAGAGAAAGAGGAAGAAAAGAGAGAGACAGAAGGAGTGAGAGACACAGAGAGAGAGGAGAGAGAGGGAGAGAGAAGACAAAGAGAGGTGAGAGAGAGAGCGAGGGAGCGCTAGCGTCCTTCAGGAAGCCCCCGCACCCAGTCTTTCGGCTTTCTTTGCTGTCCCCAGCCCCAGCCCCAGCAGGTCCCCTACCTCAGGTCTCCAACATAGTGTGTGGCCCAGGACAGGCGGATCCGGGAGCGCCCCACCATGTGGATGAAGTTGGTGTAGCCCAGGATGTTTTCAGCTGTCTCGAAGGCCGAGTTCCCACGGCCCAGGATCAGTACGCTTTGGCCCACAAAGTCCTCTGGGTCGACAGACACTGACTCATAGCCCTCCACATACTCTGACCCTGGGAAGTCAATCTCGTTGGGGACAGACACACCTGTAGCCACAAAGAGCACACTGCAGGGAGAAATGTGAAGGACGCCCTGGTTAGTCCCGGGGTACTGAGGATACTACACCAAATCATCTCACCTACACAGTTTACTGGTTTGCCTGCTTCTGTCAATCACCGATTCATCTTTCTTAAACGCCCACTGTATGCTGGGGACTCCTTCAGGGGATGGGGATACGAGTACAATCCCTAATCATGAGGTGCCTGCAGCTAGGGGGCGCCATAGTGCACAGAGCAGGGGACCTAGAGTCAGGAAGACTCGTCCCCCTGAGTTCAAATCCCCCCTCAGACACTTACTAGCTGTGTGACCCTGGGCAAGTCACTTCACCCTGTTTTCCTCAATTTCCTCATCTGTCAAATGAGCTGGAGAAGGAAATGGCAAACTGCTCCAGAATCTTTGCCAAGAAAACCCCAAATGGGGTCACAGGGAGTCAGACATGACTGAAAAACAGCTCAACAACTGTCTTCAATGAATGAGACAACAAATATGCAAATATAGAACCAGCCTCAGATCTGGAGGAAAACCTAGAGACGACCAAGCCTAACCCTTCGTGTAGGTGAGGAAGTTGAGGCCCAGCCAGGTTAAGTGACCGGTCTAAGGTTACAAAGCAAATCAACAGCAGAACCAGGACCAGACTCCAGGCTTCTTGGGTTCCTGGTCCAGGGGTCGCACAAAGGAGAACATGAACTTGTCACATCCACACACTGGGCTTCTATTCTATTCTATTCTATTCTATTTTATTAGGCCGGGGCTTTCTCCTGCACCTCTCCAGCCATGCCTGAAAGGAATCTCTGCTCTAACATGCCCAGTGGTCATCCTGCGTTTGCTTGAGAACCTCCTATAAGAAAAGGGGAGCCCACGAACTCCAGGGCCAGCCCATTTTATTTCTGGACAGCCCGGCTTATTAGGAAGCCCCATCATTCCATGACCATTGACAGTCACCACAGGGGTCCCTCTCATTCACGAGGGTGTCGTTTATTTGGAAGGCTCCCCGACTCTACTACTGACCTGACCTAGCAGAGACAAGCCAAATCGACGTCTGGACCACTTTCTGCTTTTCCTCCCGCCCACGGTTCTCCCAATTGCCTGGTTTCTTATCCCAGGGCTCCCACCAAGCCGCCACAGAACCCCTAATTCTATTGATCTGCGGGAGGAACTCTCATGACACCACTTCTGGGCTGAATTTCAACACCAACAACAGCAGTGTGAGCATCTTCCCACCTTGCGTGTGTCTCAAGCACGCCATGGAATGGCTCACTTCTCCTGCCTAGCAGAAGGCTGGGCCTTCTTTGGAATGATGTGCCTTGGTCGCTTAGGCATGTCCACGGCCTGGCCGTAGCACGAGGCGGGCTTTCTTCAGGATGTCATGCTCTGGGAACTTGGCTGGACAGGACGCCAGGCTCCATGCCCGCCCAAGGCCTGGCCATAGTTACCTGCACTGGTAGCTGTGGCCCCTCTGGTCAGTGAGGATGAAGAAGTGCCCGTTCCAGGCGTGCGGGTTCTTGCTGAGCGTGACGTGGACGATGGCCGTGTTGTAGCGCACCCGGAGACTCAGCCTGTCCGCAAAGTCCCCCAGGTAGCGCACCATGTCATCGGCGTGGGGGAAGTAGGCTTTGGAGTAGTGGCGGAAGAGCAGGCGCTGGTCATGGCTCAGCAGGGAGTTCCAGTCATGGCGAAGATTGAACTCGCTGTTGACCTTGCCTGTATATCTCTTGTTGATGCTGATGAGCTTTCGGTGGCGGGGGTAGCGGGTGAAGAAGCTGCCCGGTGCCCCTGCCCGCTCGAACACCACGTAGTTCCTGCCAGCCTGCCCCAGGAAATAGGCCATCTGCAGGCCTGCGGGGCCAGCGCCCAGGATGCAGTAGTCCCATTGAAGGAAGAAGGATGCCCCGGGGAGGGGGCTCAGAGTCAGGGCTGAGTGCAAGGTCAAGGTCAGGAGCAGCCCTGGGGGACCTTTGTGCAGGGCCATGGCAGAGAAGGGGGCAAGATGAGGGGGTGGAGAGGTCATCTGTCACCTCAAGGGACCAGCCTCTCCATCACCTCCTCCTCGTTGCCATGGCAACTGCTAAGGATGCTGCTTCCCTGGGCGGAACCCCCCAGGCTGGGGGGGTCATGCTGCCCTCCTGGGCTGCACCTGGGAGGGAAGGCTGTCACTCCTCCCCCAGCGTAGGGAGAGGTGGGATGGGGTGGGGCGCGACCCTCCCCCAGAGGGGGCGTGGCTCACGCAGGCCCCTCCTCGGCCACGTGACCCGCCCGAGTCCTGCCCTCCTCACTGCCCTCCCCTTCCCAGGTCCCAGACAGAGCGAGCCGGAGGAGCCGCAGCTCGCGAGGCCGCCGCGCAGTCAATGAAAGCGAGGCTGGCGCGGGCAGGGGAGGAGCAGCGCCCCAGGCCCCGCCCCCAGAAGCAGGGGAGGGGGGAGGGGCGTTGCACCACGTGACCTCGAGGCACGCTGGGACTGTGCTGCGGCTGCGCGCACATGCTGGTCCCTGAGCGTCTTCAGTCACGTGTGAAAGGACCCGCTGAGATTTAAAGGGGCCACGCGGGGCCTTGGAAGCTGCCACAACCCTAAGAGTTATCCGAAGGGGCGGGGGCGGGCTATCTTGACAGTGAGCTCCCTGTCACCAGCGGTCTTCAAGAAGCTGCCTAGTCCGTGGGTGAGGTTTAATTGTGAAGGGCAGCAGGGGAAAAAAATTAGACGAGAGTCAGAGAACTTGGATTCAAATGCAGCAGCTAAGGGCAGCGCGCGCATACCGTGGATAGCGCCTTTGAGCTGGGTTCAGATTCCACCTCTGATGCATTCATTAGTTGTGTCACCCTGGGCAAGTCACTGAACCACGCAGGGCCTCAGCTTCCTCCCTTTGTCAAATGAGGGGTTGGACTAGCTGAACTCTTAAGGTCGCTTCTAGCTCACAACCTTCCCTGGCCTCAGTTTCCTCATCTGTAAACAAGGAGGTTGACCGCTAAGGTCCCTGCCCAGGGGATCGTTGGAGGTAGAAGACCCTGGGCTCCATGCTCTGCCTGTATTTCCTGGGTGAAGCTGCACCTCAGTCTTCTCATCTGTAGAGTGGGGATAACCAGCACTCCCTCCACCTCTCCAGTGCGGTGGGGATATTGATTTCATTATTCCCAGGAATGATTCAAGGTGATTGTCCCGGCAGATGCTCGCTGGGGGAAGCCTGGCCAGAGGCAGTGTCTGGCCAGCAGGGGTAGTGACCAGTCATGATGGACGTGACAATGCAGAGGAAGTGGGAAGTGGATGGAAGCAATGGGAGCCATCTCTGGCTCTTGAGCAGGGGAGGATAGATGACAGCTCATTTCCCCTGCCTCCCCTTCAAAATAAGAGCTGGAAGGGACACCCCCCCTCCCCCCCCCCCCCGTCATGTCTCAGGCTCCAAAGTTCGATTTGACTTTAGAATTGGAAGCTTCTAACCTGGACTATGACCCTGGTGCTTCTGACTGTCTTTTAACGTCCTTGGTTTCTTTCATCACCTGATTTTATTTTAGGCATTCTGCTAAGGGTGTTACCAGGGTCAGAGGACCCCAACAAACACTGGCTGAGACCACCATGGTTACAGACAGCAGAGTCAGGATTTAAACTCAGGATCCTCCACCCATGCAGAGCCATCTGTCCCACCAGCCTTTGTTCGTGGGCACCTGCTCTCACGTGGCCAGCTCCGGGAAGGGGCAGATAAGACACAGGAGCAGATAACTCCATGCATTTTATCCTGATTTTACCTAGGAAAAAACCAGGCTCAGACCTAGTGCAGAGCCAGGGCCAGGGGTAGGGCCTGGATGAGGCAAAGATGGGGAAGGAGGTAAGAGGAAGAATCAGTAGATGGGAAGAGTAGAGGCCCAGCCATCCATCAGCTGGCAGGAAGCAGGTGCCCGGAGCCTTGGGAGATGGGGCGGAGCGAGAGCTGTCCCCAGGCACCGGAAGAGGGACTGTCAGCTGTTCCACAGGGAACCTGAGGATGGAATTGGGAGCAGCTGGAAAGGTGAAAGGAGAGCTTTGGGCTGAGCATAAGAACCTCCTGATGGCCCCGATGGCTCCTTGGTGTGTGACAGACGATGATATGGACCCCTATTTAATTCCAACCTGTAGTAATCAGTTTGACAGGATTCCACTGGAGGGGTGATTCTACATTCTGATTGCAGGGCCCAGAGCGGTGAACGGCAGCTTCTAAATTCACTTGCTTAATCACAGGAAGCAGAGGACCTCCACCTTGTTACGGTGAGCAAGCCCAGCCTGGCAGAGGTGACTTAATGACACGGAAAGCCCCCAGCTATCTTTGTTGCCCCTCCCTCTCATCATCCCTCTACTGCCCAACCTGGCGCCTGGCCAATGGGTAACCCTGGCTGCCAGCCTGGGGCCCACAGGTGTGCTCATCAGGACCTCCTGAAAGGCCAAGACAGGTCTGTCAAGGTCTGCTCATTAGCCTGTTTGTCACCCCACGGGATTCTGTCTGGGCTCCTTCCTCTGGGCACTGCTTACACTCATGGGGTTAGTCAGGAGCTAGATACTTTGTACGCCTCAAAGGACCACATGAAGGTCACCCATTCCACAGACAAGGAAACCGAGGCTTGGCCTGAGAGACCCAGAGAATGCTTTAAAATCCTCTGGTTATCAGGAGTTGCAGGAGCAGATTCACGCTTAGGTCTCGCTATTCCACGTCCAGGAACACTCCTTCCCTCTATGCTCCATGCTGGACATCGGTTGGGCGGCTGTTGCCCACCTTCCCAGACACAAGGAAGCTCATGCTCACGTGGCCTGCGTGGCTTTTTCCTCCCATTATGGCAGCATCAGGGCTGGTGGAGCCCCTGCCCTCATCTTGGGGGGGGACAACGACAGGATGGGCGAGGACTGAATGCTCAAAGGCTTCCCTCTGCCAACAGGCCGGCCTGCCTTACGTTGGGGTTAAGGTGGGGAGGGGTGGCTGCAGGGCAATAAATCCGCCAGCCACGGCAGCCTCTCTTTCAGGTGAAGCTCTCCCCTCAGACCGGGGGCGCTCCCTGTGGACCTTCACGACTGCACAGTCCATCGGCACCCAGAGCAAACAGATTAATTAGATTTCTCCTTTATTTCACCTATGAAACTTCAGCTTGTGTGGACAAGACCAATCACGATGGCATCCTCCAGTCCCCTCCAGGCAAGGAGGAATGAAGATCTGCAGGGACGTGCATCCCGCTCACGCTTCTTCCTCTAAAAGAGAGGGAGCAGGGTCGTAAGCAAACAGCAAGGGCCCCAAGCAACCCCACTGGGCCCCCTCTCGATGGGGGGCACATTTCCTTTTAGTCCCACGCTGGGTGGTCAGTGACTCAGCTGACACCTGCTTTTATCTCAAGGGCTGCTGACCTGAGTTCCACCACATCCAGGGGTTTGTCTGCCCAGACGCCCTCCCTGCTGGCCCAGAGCTACCCCCCGCCACGCCGTGGCTCTCAGAGAGGACCTCGAGTACGCCTGTCCGGGCGGGCTACCCGTGGCCTCGCAGGCTGTAGCCTAAGGCCCAGCATCAGCCCCAGGGGTCCCCCAGCCCAGCGCCCCCCCCCCCCCCGCCACGGATGGCCTGGTACCAGAGACACGAGCTACGCTAAGCAAAGGCAGGACATGGTGTCCGTGGCCTCTGGGGGAGCCCGCACCTTCCTCTTCCTCCTCCTCGTCCTCATTGTCGTCGTCCTCGTCGGAGCTGAAGGTGCCGTCGGGCAGGCTGTAGACGCGGATCACCTGCTTGTTGGGGTCTTTGAGGATGAGGTACTTGCCCTCCTCCAGCTTCATGCAGATGTCGATCACGCAGCGCAGGATGCCCCAGGCGTTCTCCACGCTCAGGTTGATCTGGCTGGCGAACTCGTTGGGCTTGAACTGCTGGGTGCCCAGGATGACGTGACGAGCCGAGTCTTTGACGTGGTAGCGGGACACGTACCTGTGGAGACACGGGGCGGGGGCACTGTTAGGGCGCGAGGAGCTCGTGGCAGCCTTCGCTAACGGGTGCCCGCACCCTTTCGCCATCCAACTCACCCGAGCTTGAGGTACTCGGACCCGGCCAGTAGCGCGCAGCAGGTCCAGCGCGCCAGCTTGTAGCTGTTGTTTTTCAGCTCCGTGGCGATGACCGCCCCCCGCTGGGAGTCCAGCTTCTGCCGCCAGTCCACGCCATTGCAGTGCTGCCGAGGGAAAGCAGAGCCACCGGCGGGCTGTCAGTATCCTGGGGCTCCCTTCCCACCTACACCAGCTCACTGCCCTGGAGGGAACGGGCAGGTGGGAGGGACCCAGAAGGGCTCAAAATCCCAAAGGGGAAGAAAGAAACCAGACACTGACACAGCCCAGGCAGTTGTCTGCCAATGACCAAGCACCTGCCACGTACACAACCTGACCAGGGCAGAGGGTGAGCTTCCCACTGCCCAGTGGGATGCGCTAGTTACATACAGGGCATCACCTCACTGGGGCAGAAGCCAGGCGCCCTGAGGAGATCCTCACAGACAGAATGGGCAGGGAAGGGGTACTCAGGGGACGAGGGCTGGATCAGCAGGCTTCCCTTGAGAGCTGGTGATGAGCCCCAAAGGGAGGTTTGGGGCTTTCTGGAAGGCCCAGAATGCCAGGATGAGAGGACTGGGCACAGGCTGTGGGTAACCGCCCATCACTTGTGCATAGGGTTGACCTAAGCTGGGCAAGGCCTTGAAGCCAAGTACCATAGAACCTGTTAGGAGGACAACAGCCCAGGTCTCTAGTGGCCTCTACTGACATAAAGGGCAAGGTCAACACGCTCCATCCATGGCAGTGGAGGGAGACAAGGCAGAGCTAGTGACACAGCATGGAGCCAGTGGACAGCAGGAGGACTGACTGAAGAAATGACGGATGATAACACCGATCAGCGTGGCGACGGGCAGGATGGAATTAGAAGTGACCCCAATGGTCACAGACCACAGGGGAGAGTGGAGGGAGGTATGAGGGAAAGCAGGCTATTCTGGCATCACACTGGCCTGTGGGGGTAGGGTGGATGGTCAGATGCCACGTGGGGGTAGAGAAGGCAAGAAAAAACCCAATGAGATTAGGTGGCCAGGAGGGTCACTGCAGGATGACCTCCGGGGCAGAATCAGTGAGCAGGCAGCAGGATGTGCATCAACCACAGGGGCTCGGACCCTGAACGAGTCTGGAGCAGTGACCTTACTGAACAATAAGGAAGGCACATGGGATGCTGGACAAAGTGCCTACCACCTCTGCCTAAATGGGG